AATTCCTCATTTCCCTTTACATCATAATAGTAATCATTTGTTATAAATTCATGGGTTAATGAATTTCTTCAAAGCAATCAAGACAGTATGACGTCCCCATCCTAGAACACCGATATGTGTAAAACATATTAATCCCTACATCTCCGAGGTGCATAATGCAATTACTGTAGACATAGACTTGAAATTATTAGTAATTACTGAAAAATAAGAGCTAAAAAGAATTATAAATAGATAAAATATTGGAGGTTAAGGTTTTTGACTGGTGACTGGTGGGGATACAATATAGGGATAGCGACGACAGACGATACATTGATGTATCGAAAACATCGATACATCGGACGTAGAACATTGATCTATCTGTACGCATCGATGGTTTCATGACGATATATCGATATCGAGAGGAATTATAAACATCCGTAACCGAGTCTATCCTTAACTGTGCTACCATCTGGAAGCGAGGACTGGTAGCTTCGAAATTGAAAGGCTAGAAAGCTATTTAGGTGTTTAGTAGTATTTGAATATGATCATTACAGATGAGCACTGAGCCAGTGAGTGGCCACTGAGCACTGTAGTATTTTCTTCATTCCCCAAGGGATAGAATAAAATAGACTGAAAACAGCGCGTTTAATGATTTTCAGTTCTCAGAGAAGGATTTTCCCCTGCCGGCCCTTGACATCGTTTCGAAATACGCGACACGTCATGGGAGTTGTTTAATATTGTTATGGTAGCAACTTTAGGATCAAAGGTATTAACTAAAGTAGAGTATTTTAAACACAAAAATTGCGCTAGTTTTATCAGAAGAAGACACTATATCTCTGAGCCACAGAAGCAAAGCGAATCTCAGGCTTCCGATTCTCCCATCACTAGTATGATGAAATGACAATTTGTCCCTTCTTGGATTACTTGAAAGAGTGATGTGCTTTCCAGTTCGTTTCATTAAGTTGCGTTCAGTTCTAGGAACTAGTTCGTGAACTAACTACTTTGTGCAACAATACCACAAAAAATATATATACAGAAACAGAGCAGATATTCCAGTCTTTCAGTCGAGATAACGTAAAAACGATGCAATTCATATTTTTTAACCGTTCCAATACATTCCACTGATCTCAAATGTATTCTCCCATCACTAACATTATGAGACACTAATTTCAAATGTCAATTCCGATCTCCTTTGGCCTATTCTCCTTCTACAACGTCACTGTATTCTATGTTTTGTGATCACTTGTTTTGTTATGTGTGAAAAATGGAATTTTTTAACACAAATTTCCGTATAAAAGTGCTCCCTCCAAGATTTTTTTGTGAAGAAATACATATTACACTGTCGTGTACCCGTTAAATCTGTACGAACCCCTAAATACGTGGTTATGTTGAATGTACCATCACCGATGGTGCGACTGATTATAAACTGAAATTAAAACAAAAAACTGCAACTGCAATTGTATGTATGAATGTTGAACAGTTTCGGGCTAGTGGGGTTAAAATATCGTTGAGGAACTGGAAAGAAGTGTATGAATGTGTTGAAATGCATCACCTAACAAAAATTTGAGTGAAAAGGTTTTTTCATGTAAGGGTTTAGAAGTGCAAGTTTGCAAATATAGGATAAACTATAAGCCCACAGTAGGTGATATAATCACATATGAATTACAAAAGCTGCAGTAACATGGAAAAACCTTCAGCTAATCTGAAAAAATAGATTTTATTCAGACATCAAGCATTTTTAAAAATTTTGGCTCAGTTTTACATAATTTCATAATATTTAATAAACTGAAAAGATTTCAATGGCAAGCTGTCACTTCATATTTCACAGTGTTTTGTTTTGAATACTTTGATGGTATTTGCTGCCAAAGATTTGACGGAGAGATCTTGAGGCTGATTGGGTATATTTAACGGACTGTTTGGTACTCGTACCCTATTGGTGGAGAATAATGGTTTGTTAAATTGTGAAATCCACCCTAAAACATTTATATACACCACTGTTTATGTCTAACAATTCCTATGTCGCGCCACTGACTGGACACTTCACTCTGCTCTACTCTGCCGCATTCCGTACTCTCTTCCATCTCCCGGCCGCCGAGTTATAAAGTCCGCATCGTTGAGTCTAGAAGAATCGGGAGCCACATAGCGGCCTTCCCGAATAGTCGAGGTTGCTTCGCGTCGATCTAAATGGCGATCCTCCGCCAGGTGGCTGGTGCGGTCGTGATTCGCGTAAAAGCAGAGATCGGCCATGAAGCTCTTGCAAGTAGGAGACTCGCCCAACAGATGGCGCCGACAGTATGATTCATCACACAACTATGCATTAGAGAGTATTTGATGCCGTTGTTTTGCTGCGTCGTTATAATCTTCGTTAGTTCTCTTAGTTACACCGATTAGGGTGGAGCTTATTTCGTAAGAAATTTTTTCTTATTCGGCGCTGTGGCAGGAATTTGCGAAGTATAACTAAAATCATTTTAAGTTACAAAAACATATTGGTTAAGGTATTGACACCATATTGTGACCACCAGCTGGCTAGTTTCTCTAAACCACATACACTGATGAGTAGACATAATCAGCAATGGTGTATTCTCATCAGCCGAAGTGAGGGTATTATTGATTATAAAAACTAGTTGGGTTGACAGGTAACGGGATTCCCTCACTGAGGGCAGTCCCCCTCGGAGGATCACTCTTGCCATTCTACCATGTGCAGAGACCAGCTGCGCGCCACAGTTACCAAGTAAAGTACCTCTTTTTTATACTTTTACGTTCCACAGAGTGTATTTATAAGTTCTTCTGTGTATGATGATCAACAGCCCTTTGCAGCAGCAATCAAGAGTGGTCTGCCAAGAGCAGAGTTAACTCCGAAGTCACAATCGTGGCAATACGGTGGAAATCTAAATTCTAGGTCATAGATATAAATAAGTGCAAGATATTTGTTATATATGTAATGTAGCCTTTTACTGTAGTTCTGCTAGTTTTGTAGTCGTTCTGTAGTTCTATGATTCTAAACCAATTCACTACTTTTCTTGTTAAGATACAAATATCAGCGAAACCTTTTCAATGAAACAATTTAACAAGGTTTCGAAATTATGAGGCCACGTCAAGACCGAAAAACAAATAGCAGCAGATGTTTTCCAAGTGTACCAAGTATAGAGACAAGTTCCAGACTCCTGCAGGCGCATAGTCAAAAGTAAAAAAGCAATGTTTTTGCATTTGACTCCAGATTTTACCGTTTACCGCAGTGGATTGGTTATTTTGATTCTTGTCAAATGGATACCATATTCGTTATCAGCGATCTCGGAAACATATGAGTGATCTTGTTTGGTGAAATTTAGTGAGTATTTCTAGTTTTGGCCATGTTTTAATACATGTGAATCACTATGAGGCGACCACCCAACTATCAAAGTGGTGTTATAAGTTTTTGATAAAGGACTGTTCAGCAATAGAGGTTCACTTTTAACACCAAAATGCTGGTTGATTGTGGTGTGGAATGCAAATTTGCTTTCAGCAGCATATTAAAATATTCAGTGCTTAAAGCATCTTTGTAGCATAGTTATACTATACCTTATGAGACAAATTTTGAACTGTTGAATGGACGGATGCTACGTATTTTGAAAAATGGCATTATGTCGATTTTTTTTTAAATTATATTGGTTTTTTGTGACAATATGTAGGTTTTTCGATAAGGTAATAGCACCAGCTGATGGACACGTTGTGAACTCGTTTTGTAGTTCTACGTGTTGCCTAAACGTCATGAGGCTTCAGTCAAGTTTTCAATGTTTGGCTCTGATGTGATGTAAAATCTGCTCCAGAGATAGCATTACTAGAGGTAACGGCAACGCATAGGTGAATAGTGAGGATTTGGATGATAATCTACCATCCTTCGTCAGCACGTCCTAACTGCATTCTTTAATTTTTTGGACTTTATGTTTATACCAGTTATTCTATGCATTATTTTTCTATTCTCCCAAGTTATTACTCCATTGTGTCCCTGCCATAAGTATGTAAGTATATTGGTCCTATGTTCAAATATTAAGAGCTTTCAAACACAGAACGTTGTATTTATGTTATATGGCCATAGTAACTACGCATATGATAACAACTTCTCGCTAATCCGTTGGTAGAATAGTGCCTTTGCTGTTTTCTACTAATTCTTAGTCAGCTTTCCGAATGTATAAATAGGCCTCGCGGCCATATCCTGTTGTTCAATACCCGGTTAGACTCCGTAAATGTCACATTTGTAAACCTTTATATTTTATATGGACTGTAGCTTCAGTCCTCAAATAAAATTGTTTAAAAAAGTTATTTCTAAATCTAATGATTTAAGAAATTGGGGTTAGAAGTGGGATAGCTTCAACGCTTTAGAACACGTGCATACTAACTGGTGCGGTGGATGTCCATCCTTTAAGCTGAAAAGGACCAACGAGCCTTAAGAAGAAAGAAACCCATTGAAGAAAGAAACCTACAAGTAGGAAAACTACAAGTAGGAAAACTACAAGTAAGAAACTACAAAGCAACAAGAAGAAGGAAAACACCATGGGACACAGCGAGCAGCAGCCACCCAACTGCAGACAGACTACTGGAAACATCGCAAGAGATCCACTAGCCGCCTGGAGAACACGACTGCCTCCCGATGTACCCTTGGTAACGTACAATTTCAATCTAACTATTTTTTGCGATTTATCTCTGTGTGTGTGATTTTTACATCTTTTTATTTGCATTTTTGCACATTTACTCTATATATTTTCGATTTTTACGTATTTTCCCCATTTTTACATATTTTTCTATTTTTGCGTTTACCCTTGACATTATTGAATCTTTTTGAAACAACTTTCTATTTAAAATGTCTACTAACGGTTCAGATGATTACCAACCAGCTGAAATTCCTGATAACGTTCATGCGAACATTGAACCTTATAGATTATCTGAAATATTTTCAATTGTACCCGAGTACGATGGAAACCCGATATTACTTTCGACCTTCATCAACGCGTGCCGGACGGCATATCAAATGGCCGTCGAGGAGCAGCCTTCCACGTGGGAAGACATACGGTCCCTGTTAGAAACGCACTTTGGAGATCTTAGAGATCTCACATCTTTAATCACGGATCTTCAACACATGCGCCAACTCCCCAATGAATCACCCCTAACCTTTGAATCTAGACTGCAGACGCATGCAGCCAAAATGCATTCCACCTCGGGACCTCGGTTGGCCGCGTGGGTCAGAGTGTCGTGCTACTGATCAGCCGGCCGGCCGGGCCGCGAGTTCGAATCTCGCCTTCGCCATGGATGTTGTGTGTTTGTTTTAGGCAGCAGCGGTGGCCGCAGTAGTAGACTCTTCGGTCTCCTGATCACTCGCCGTGCGCTGTGCGGGTTCGAGTCCCGTCCCAGGAGAAATTTTTCTCTTGGCTATGGATGTTGTGATTGTCCGTAGGTGGTAGATGGTCTCTGACTGTCGAACGTGGAGGTACAACCCGGCGGATCTCGTAGGCGGAGCCAGAATGTGTGCATGTTGCATGCACACGTGTTCCCTCGCCAGAGTCCATGTGGCGTTCCCCCTTTCCCCTGTATCCCCCTATAGCCCCACGGTACCCAATGGGTTTTAGGCCTTAGGCCTTCGTGGTAGCTGGAATATAAAAAAAAAACCGTGAATAGGCAAAATCTAAATTGCGAGCAAAAATCTGCTCAAAGTTCCCTCATTGAAACGATGACTTTAAATTGTCTATTCACAGGATTAGACTCGAAAATAGGACCTGTTGTACGATCAGGACATCCCACGGATATCTTGACCGCAGTTTCGTATATCAAACGAGAGTTACAACTCTCATATTTGGAACGACAAAAATTCGCCAGGGCCTCAAACCCGAATCAAAATTCTGTTAATCGAAGACCAAACCCTAAAATTTGTAATTTTTGTAATCGTCCCGGTCACTTGACAAATGAATGCCAACGGAGACAACAGTCTACAAGTCTTGCCCCGAGACAGTTTAACCAGCCCCAGCCTCAAAATTACCCTATGCCGAATCAACCTATGCAAGTTAGACCGTCTACATCTAACTACCATCAAAATTCTAATCAATATCCTCCCAGACCATCTGTAATACGACCAAATGCGCCTAACGCGAGTGTGCCAAGACCCTCTGTAATTCAGAGCAATCCAAATTTCCAAAACCCTAATTTTCAAAGAAATTTTAGACAAAATCCTCCCAATCGAATTAATTATGTCGCTCCTGATTCTTACGATTATTCCGACTACGGTGAATCAGGCATATACAACACGGACTACGCTAACGAATATGACGATACCCAACACTCCGCCTACACACCTTCCCCATACAATGATTTTAGAGAACCCAGTAACGATTTTTGTTACGAATATAATCAAACCGCCGATACATTTGTTGACAACGCTTATTCGGACATACAACAATTCCAGGATTTTCAGACCAAGTGTTTGAAAGAGAGACCCCCTGGGGAACCTAACGACAGTACCGCGATAGTATGTGCGAACTGTGAATCTCAGTGTCGAGGACGCGAACGCGAAACCGTGTGCGAGCGTCAGCAACGCACGCTATCAGATGTTCATATAAACCCTCCGTTTATGGTCCCGTCGATAATTCACCCCGTTGGCCCAGACAACTTATATTACATTAAAGATGCTACCGGAAAATTCAAAATTCTCATTGACAGTGGTGCAGGTTGCTCCATTTTCAAACGTAACACTTGTCAAAATTATACTAATCGTGTCGCAGAAAATATCTCTATCCGAGGTATTACTGACGAAAAAATTAGTATTACTGAAACAGTCTTAGTCCCATTTGCTCCCAATGATTATCACAAAATTTATGACCATGATCTAGATATTTCATTCGATGGCCTTCTTGGGTCAAAACAGTCCCTCTTTTCAAAGTAGGTGACGAAAATAATTCCAAAGCTTCTCAATTTAAAGAAATGTCCCTAGCTTAGCAACTTAAAGAAAATTCTCAAGTTCAAAATGTTATTTCCATTCCTCCCAGAGTTGAACAAGTTTTCAAGCTCAAATCCGAGCTTAGAAATACTGAAGCCATTCTCCTGGCGTGTGAGGTAGAAAAAGTCCGTCTACCCAGTTCCATAGTTAAAATTGATTCTAAAGGCGAATTCCTTACTACAGTATTAAACTGTAATGCCATTCCAAAAAATGTAATTTTACCCCAATTAACTTTCGAGCCCTTTAACGAAACTTCTATCAATAATTTCAACACTTCTTTACAAAATCAAAGTCAGTATAACCGTAGAGATGTTATTAGAGATCAATTACGTCTCGATCATCTCAACGAGGAAGAAAAAGAATTAATTACGAATTTTTGTTTAGATTTTTCGGACATATTCTATTTAGATGGTGAAAGCCTGTCATTTACAAACGAAATTGAGCATTCCATTGATACCACTACCAGTAAACCAATTTTTACCAAATCCTACCGATACCCTTATGTCCACAAGCAAGAAGTCAAAGATCAAATTTCAAAATTACTAAAACAAGGTATTATCGAACCTAGCACATCGCCATGAAATTCTATGGTGTGGGTAAACGGAAATGGCGTATGGTGATTGACTATCGTAAGCTTAACGAAATCACCATCGATGATAAATATCCCCTGCCAAACATTTCCGATCTACTTGATCAATTAGGGAAATGCCAGTACTTTAGTGCACTGGTCTTGGCATCTGGATTTCATCAAATCGAGATAAATCCAGTTGATGTTCCTAAAACTGCATTTTCAGTTGAAAACGGACATTACCAATTCTTGAGGATGCCTTTTGGTCTCAAGAACGCTCCTGCCACGTTTCAACGTGTCATGGACAACATCTTGATGGGTATACAAAACGAAAGATGTCTTGTATACATGGATGACATAGTTGTCTATTCCCCCTCCATCCAAGAACACATCAATAGGCTTACTGAAATTTTTAAACGTCTTCGGAAGTCGAATTTCAAAATCCAGCCTGATAAGTGCGAATTCCTCAGAAAGGAAGTAGCCTATCTTGGTCATGTAATAACCCCTGATGGCGTTAAGCCCAATCCAGATAAAGTGGATTGTATAAAAAATTTCCCTCAGCCCAAGAATCCTAAAGAAATAAAATATTTCTTAGGTCTTGCAGGTTACTACCGACGCTTTATACCAAACTTTGCCAAAATTGCGAAACCCCTTACCAGACTATTACAGAATGACGCAGTATCTGACTTTGATAGCGAGTGTGTTAAGTCATTTGATACTTTAAAAAATGCTTTAACAACATCTACTATACTGATCTACCCCAACTTTGAAGAGCCTTTTGTGCTTACAACAGACGCAAGCGCTTTTGCGTTCTTTCACAAGGTCCCATAGGTAAAGATCTCCCGATAGCCTATGCATCTCGTACACTCTGTAAAGCAGAAACGAGATATTCCACCATTGAAAGAGAACTTCTAGCTATAGTCTGGAGTGTAAAACATTTTAGACCTTACTTGTATGGTCGAAAGTTTAAACTTGTAACAGACCATAGACCCCTTACGTGGCTTTTCTCTTGCCGAGACACCGGAAGTAGATTAGCAAGATGGCGCCTTAAGCTAGAGGAGTACGACTATGAAATAGTGTACAAGCCAGGCAAGGCTAGTAAAAATGCCGATGCCCTATCACGTATCAAATTACCCAAAACTGTTAACGCCCTTACCCATAGTGACGAAGAAGCAGAACCTTCTACCCAATTTTCCGAAAGTGAATTTGATATCTTTGCCCGCCTTTACAAAACCACATCCCTGACCGATTATTCCAAAATCCAATTTTCAAATTCCCAACTCCCAGACAAAAGTCATAAACATATCGTCACGTTTTTCAGACAAAACACTCTATCTGATCTCCACGAAAAAATTATCGAAGACATATTCGAGGAAAATCTTGATTTTTCTGCAGATAAAATTAACATAGCGTCTAGCAAAACAATTGAAGATAGAAAATACTATATTATTCCTGTGTCATACGATCCCGTTACTTGCATACAGCATCTTTTCTCTGTAATTTTGACCAACAAAGGTGTATTCGACCTGTCCCAATAAATTTACATTGAAAACAATTTGGACTTACCCATTTTAGAAATTTTCTCTTTTATTTTTTCGGATGATAATATCAAACTTGTCGTTTGCCAAAACGTCACCAAAACTCCTAGTCCCGATGAAATCCCCGTCATTTTAGATCAATACCATTGTGGTAAGAAAAACATTCATCGAGGAGTTAATGAAACAATTAGGCGAATTCGTGAACGATATAATTGGCCCGGCTTAACTAAAGACGTTGAGCATTTCATCAAAAAGTGTGAAAAAAACCTCAGTGCCCCTTTAGTAGTAACTGAAACCCCTAAAGCCCCGTACGAAAGAATCAACATTGACATTTTGGAAGTCCCACCCAAATGCTACCCTCTCACAATCCGAGACGAGCTAACCAAATTTTCTCAAGCCTATCCAATTGGCGACAAATCTGTAGTAAATACTCTACTTTTATATTTCCAACATTATGGTACACCTCTCCGAATACACTGTGATTACGGAAAATAATTTGACAACGCCCTCATGCCCCTTCAATATTCTTCGCTATGCTGTTCAGTGCTACAATAGCACTAGAAATAAAACTACTGGCTTTACACCATACGAGCTCGTGTTTGGCCACACCTCTGGTCGTCCGCCCGAACACGTATATTTAGAAAAAGAATTGATGTCCAAGTATGTTCGAGACATTCGGAATAAACTCGAATATTACTACAAAATTGCCCGCGTGAGAACTGACGAACAGAAGCAAAAAGCAAAAATTCGCTTTGATAGTAGAGTGTCACCCAATTTACAATCATATAAAGTTGGCGATAAAGTCTTTGTGAAACAGTCTCAAATTTCAAACAAGCTTCAGAACAAATTTGATGGTCCATTCGAAATGACTCAAGTTTTTGAAAATTCCGCGCTCCTTAAGAACCCGGAAACAAATAGAATAAGTGAAGTTAATTTTGACAGACTGAAACCATGTTTTGAGACTTAGTTTCTCTTACAGCTGCAATGTGCTGTTTCTTGCGGCTGTCACAGCCCAGATAGACATCAAACCGATTAACAACACCTTAGGTATCTATTTTCATGAAGATAAGATAAGATTTCCAACGAAATTTGGACACTTTTTGTATATAAAGACTTAGAACTCATTAAGAAAGCACTTGACGATAACAACTATATTCTGGAACACTTATCATATCTCGTAGACAAACCCACCAATCGTATGAAAATATTTAGTGGCGAAATTAAAACTAATACAAGTCTCCTTTATCAAATTTCTCGTTCCTTGGAATCTAAATATTACGCGATCTTCGATGACACTGTAAGCGCATCGCGGATGAAACGCGGTCTGATTAACGCTATAGGTACCATATGGAAAGCAATAACCGGCAACCTCGATTTATCGGACGGTGAATACTATAACGATTGTATTAACAAAATTTCTAAAGATGAAAATGAGCTCGAAAACCTTATGAAGAACCAAATTTCTGTTACCATGTCGGTTATCAAGAATTTTAATAACACTATCCAAAAACTTATGATTGATGAAACTACGTTTAATGAAGATATTAAGGTTATTGAAAACAAAATTTATGAAATTTCAGACGATCTTGCATTTTATGATGCTAAATTCCAATTTTTAGAAGTTTGCGAACAATTAATGGAAAGCTACATGTTTCTAGAAGAGACAATTAATGATATTCTAAATTCAATTACTTTTGCACGTTTAAAAATAATACATCCTTCTATTATCACTCCTCAAGCCTTAGTAAATTCTCTTCAAGAAATCTCTCACACTTCGTCGAGAAATAATTTACCCCTTCCGGTTAATTTGGCAACCTTAATCTTATAGAACTCGAAGCGAATCAAACTAAAACAAGAGTAGTATTCGTCCTACGCATCCCGTTATTGGAGCCCGAAATGTATACTTTATACAGAGTGATTCCTCTACCCATTCTCGATAAACGTACTGGTTTGTTTCATGTAGTTTACACTATACAGAGATACATTGCTAAAGATAGCAATTATCTTTTGTAAGTTTCCTTTCAAAATTTAGGTGGTTGTAAAGTTCTTCAGTCTCAGGTGAAAATCTGTTTCA